GATGGGAAAATAGGGTGATGAGAAGGAGGAGGAAAGGCTGGATTATATTCTTCAGGCAAGGTAGTTTTTCTGTGTCTTCAAAATTCTTTATCTGCCCTAACACTGGTACTGAGTGCAGTCACCTTAATTCACAACTTCAATAAAAGGGAAATATTTTGGATGTTTCTATGATTCTTGTATGGACACCACGCCCTCTTTCTTCATCTTTTTTCACCTAGCTTTCACTTTATATTTCTATCCCACATCTGACCAATAGTCTTCTAGTAAGCCCAATAAAAGCAAAATCATGATGGAAATAGTTTTAATTCATACTTTCCACTCATGTCACTTGCATTAAATCATATTACTGGGCATATTATGGAGGACAGTAGTTGGAAGTATTCATAGTCCCTTATTATCTTTACTAATTGTTTAGAACATAATCTCTTTAATACATTGGAGGAATATGAATAAGATTGTTAGATTTTTATCAATGTCAGTATCCTGGTTGTGATATTGGAGTATAGTTTTGCAAGATGCTACCATTGGGGAAACTGTGTGAATAGTGTATAGGATCTCACTGTATTTTTTATTACAACTGCATGTAAATCTATAATTTTATTTATAAAAGTCTAAGTCAAATAATTGTTATTACTAAGAATTGCATTCCTTATATCAATTAGATCTAGCAAAAGATGCTTTTGTGCCTAATATAATATGGTGCTTAAAAATACAAACTTTGACCCTGACAAAATACAGACTTTGGTCCTGATCTTGACTTCAATACTGAACCCACAACTTTTTAGTTGATGAAGTTACTTAACTTCTTATGGCTTTGTCTTTCTTATTAAGTGAATTTTTTCTTTCTCAGAAAGTACCTCATGGTGTTTTGAGGATTTTCCAGTGCTGATCATATAGGAAATAATTAAAAAAATTAGCTGTGGAGGTTATTCTTATCACCATTATTGCTATTATGGCTTTCTATAATTAGAGCTAAAAGAGGAGCTTTTCATCATTTGCATTCAGGCTAGATTCTAACTTGCTGCTGGATATTTAGGCTTGTTTTTTAATAAAGGGCATTTTTGACTTTTCAAATTATTGTTTGATTTCAAATACATTGACAATTTTATCATTTGGAATTAAATTATCATTGCCAATGACTGTAGTTTTAATAAGCTATTGGAATTAATGACAGTGGATATTGAAAATAAGTATGTTCTGGGTAAAAATAAGAGAAAGGATGGAAGAATTATATTTAAAATTGGTCAATATTCAACTCTAGAACTGCTTCCAACAATATACTTCTGACCTACAAATTGATTTCAGCTAGAGATTTGTAAATTTTCTGTGATAAAGCAGTATACACAATTAATTGCTCTCTTTTCTGTTACCAAAGCCCATATGATATAAAGGGAAAAGCACTGTGTAGGGTAATTTACAGTTCTGGACTGTAGTGCCAGCTCTGTCACAAGTGCTGTAACTGTAAGCTTCTATTTTTTATCTTTTCTAACTGTTCCCCTGTGTGTAAATTGTGAGTTTGGGGCTAGATTAGTGATTCTCAAAGAATGGTGCATGGTCAACAGGACCAGCTTCTCATGGGAGCCTGTTAGGAATATATACTCTGGGTCCCACCTCAGATTTGCTCAGTCTTTGAGGATGGAACCAAGAAAATTGTTTTTGTTTTTATTTCATCTATCCACTGGTAAATGTTAAGTTTGAGAATTGCTGCTCTAGATTAAATTTTAAACTAAAATTTGGATTCTTGGACCCAATCCTGCTAGGTATGGTGTGGAGTCCTATAATTTGCTTTTGAGTTCCCATGGTTGCTGATGCTGCTAATCAGGCACAACACTTTGAGAACCACTAGGTTAGATAATCTACAAGCTTTGTTCCAACTCTATGATTCTATTATTGCTATTGCTTTCACCATGTCTTCTGTCCCCCTCCTTTTTCTCTTGTGTCCCCAGTTTATTGAAACAACCTCTGGGTAACATACCATGCCTTGTAGAATATGATAGGCAGAAACAAACCTCCCTAAAATCTTACAGTTTGTTAATATGAAATACCTATAACTCTTTGACATTAAAATGACCCTAGATAGTTAAGTTAGTTATATCATGGACATGCACAATTATAAAGGAAATATCTTCAGGCAGACATCCAGATTCAAGAATTTAAAACCTGGTTCCTAATTGTCATTTATCACCTTACATTGTTTTATCATCCAAAGACTTTTGCCAACCAAGGTAAAAATAAATTTGTTTTCATTCTAAAATTCCATTTAATGAATAACACTGAAGACCCCAAGTACATATTCAAATTATCCTTTAATCCCACCTCTTCTTTTTTCATAGTTTTCTAGATACTGGGGATAGGAAAATGCTCTGTGAGGCGTGTTGTCTGATAAGAACATGACAAGCCTCTGCCTGCCAAACCGAATTATTTAGTTAGCTGATGTTTTCTTGAAGTAGAGGTATGGGTAAGATCCACTGTTTTTTAAAAATCAATAATTGATAATTTTCTGGTACCAAATATGCAAACTGTATAGGAAAAAAGCAAAGACATAGCATTCACTGTGACATTACTAGTATGTCAGGCACTATGCTAAAGCTTTGCTTATTTAATCTTCACAATAACTATGTAGGTAGTTTAATTAGCTTCAGGTTTTACAAGGGGAATAGGATCAGAATGGTTAGATAACTGTTGAAGATCACATGGCCAAGGGAATGCTAGTGTATAGATTTGATGTCAGATTTGTTTGTTAGTGAAGACATCAAGAGTTCTCAATATGTGTGGAATGAATGAAGGAGTGACTGCTGTCATGCTATCTGTTTGATGTTGACCCTTAAGCCATCATAGAATTATACAGTTGAAAAGGCTCTACAATTTATTACCTAATTTGTAGTTATCTATCTTATTTAAAACATGTCTTATACACAGAGGTATACAGGTTTACTTGACCACTTTGAGGGAAAGGCACACACTCCTGTTAATCAGAATGACTGTTGAATAACTTATTGTTAGAAAATTCTTCTTTGTATTAAACTTCCCTAAAATCTCTTTATTTTTGAGCCTAGTTCTCTATAACTACTCAGTCTTAATCTGATCCTTCTTTCACAAATCATCTGCTCAAATATTTGAAGGTAACCTGATATCTTTTTCCCAAGATGAATATTCTCAATTTTTTCAGCTACTTTCCAAGATCTCTGACAGATAACAGCAACTTAATAAATGAAAGAAAGAATAAAAGTATGATATTCAGACTCACTTCCTTGTTCCTCTTCTCTAGAGTATGAAGCATCTGCGCTATATCCTAAGTATGTGCTATGACCATATTTCTAGAGGACAATGAAATGATTTCCTCGGATGTGCTCTTGCACTAACCAGTGATCACCCATAAAGATACTTATTTCTGACATAGAACAGTGCCATTGTCTTTGGCATCTCAGGTTGTATCAGGTCTCAGAAAGCTGCAGTTGAACAATAAGCCCAGTGCTTTTCTCCAAGGTTAAGGGAAAGACCTGGGCACAAGGGGATCAGCTCCAATCTAAGCAGGCTAAGTTTGTACTCTAATGTACAAAACTTGGGCTTACCTCAGCTAAAATGGAAGAAATAGCTGCTCAAAGCTAGTTTCTTTCACGCCCCACTGGCAAGGTAGTAATTGCACAAAGACCTTTTTATTGTAAGTTGATTTTCCTGAGAAATGAATTTAGAAAAATACTGTAAAGTGTTTATTTTTTGCTTGGCCTTTATTAACCCACATCTTAAGGCTGTCCCTAGAGAAAAACTCTTGGTAATGAAACCTCTAAGACCCACACAGATGCATTTTTGCAGTGTGTCCCAGGCTGTTGTGGGAACAGGGACAGGACAAGGCAAGTTGGTGCTATTTAAACAGGGTCATCAGGTAGTATTTGGAATTTTGCCAAAAGAGAAGATTTAGGAATTTAGGCAGGGGAAGGGTTTGGGGATAAAGGTTTATATCTTAAATAGGTTATAATGTAGCCCTTTCATGCCAAAGACCCTGTCTGCACTAAAGAATCACTTCTTTTGGTACATCTTAGTTTTGATCTTGAAATAAGAAAAGTCCTGTAGTTCACCCTATAAAACTGTGTCCTAAATGCCAGGACAAAACCTTGTCATGCTATCCTGGAGTCGAGCAATAATCATAGGGTAAAGAAGGGAGCTGGAAATTAAAATGTAATTTTCACAGGCATGATTCTGTCATAGCTCTTATTTTCTTTATATGGAATACAAATACTGATATAGAGTGAAGATTTTCCATTTTGCATTTTTTTGCTCTTTGATACATTTATTGAGGTCAAATGAAATTTGATATAGTAGGATTTATTATGAAATGCTCTCTGAATACAACTCCATAATTACTGAGCTACATGGTAGTGCATAAAGCTGTAAAAATGCTTAGCCAGACAAGCAATTTATATGTTGTGTCGAGGTGTGTGTGGCAAAGAATATTAGTTTAATTGGGAGCCAAGATGTAGTAGCCTTAAATCTGAAGAGCTATATGCTTAAAGTAATGAAGTGAGGCTTTGAAATAAGATACCCTAACCGGGGAGATACAGCTTTTGGAATATATGACAATTAGATGTTATTTTCTGACCAAGATTGCTAAATAACTGTTCTCAAAATAAAGCACAAAATATAAAGCAGGTGAAAGGGCAAAACCTCTCAATACTGTACTATAAGAAAAGAAGCAAACTTTTATTTTTTTTAATTCTTTGTTTAGAAGAAAAAAATAAAAGGAAAGTAAATCAGGAGAAAAGAAAACCATTAACAACCATCTGGTAGAAGCAAATTTAGAATGAAGTTATGCCCTTGGTATGCTAATGACATCTAAGAAAAGGGATTTGGAGGATTTTGCCTGAATTTTCTCAGCTTGCAGATCTGGAATGAGGTGAGGGGTGGGTGACTGTGTAGGTACCAGCACACCACCAGGAGTGAGAAACAAATACTTCTTGGCATGCATTTGCTCTCTGTCTGATCATAGGCTCTCTTCTGTTTAGCAGGTTCAGGGTCACATGCCTCCGCTCATGATCCCAATTTTTCCACATGACCAGCGGACCCTGGCAGCAGCTGCTGCTGCCCAACAGGGATTCCTCTTCCCCCCTGGAATAACATACAAACCAGGTAAGTAGAGAGAGATTTCACATTCTTTTGGAAATGTTCAGATCCACATGCTTTTGCTCAGTAGTCCCAGCAAACAGGAGGACAGAGGAACTGTGAATAAAAAGATCATCAAAGCATATTTTAAACTAAAATTAGAAGTGGTGGGCTGGGGATTTAACTCAGTGGTTCTGCCGCCTGCCCCACAAGCACAAGGACCTGAGTTCGATCCCTAGTACCAAAAAAAAAAAAGTGGAAAGAAGGAGCATTGTAATAAATTCATTGTTTGCTAAAACTTTTACTTTCTCTTTTTCCATTTTACTTGTTTTGAATTCAAAGATAAAATTCTACTTTCCCTGGGGACTACAAAATTCTTATCAGTTCTCTTTTATACCTTTATAGTGAATAATTGTCTTTGGTTAATGATCTTTTTTCTCCTGAGAGCTTTTATACTCTGGGAAACTAGTCCCATACAGTATAAAATGTTGTTATTGTTTGTTGACAGATTTCTCTTGGGAACAAGTTGAAACTGGGATGATTTAATTAGCTTACCACTAATAGGTAAAATTCTTTATGATTTTAGTCTAAATAATGAACTGTTCAGTAATATTTTTATTCATCTTTGAACCTCAAAAAACAGATCACATAACCTTGCAGTGAAATATGTTTTGAGATGATTTAGCAAATGTTATGATTTTTCTTTATTCCTCTGAGTTTACTGGACTCCTGGTGAATTCAATTAAGGGCATAATGGTTTGAAGCTTCTTTCAGAACCTCCTTGTAAACAGGGCTTTAAATGTTTAAAGATACGTTGCCAAAGGAATCCAATGTAAGAAGATAGTCAAGTAAATAAAAGTCAACCTTAATTTCATTTGTGCATTCTTTGTAAGTGACCTCAGCTCAGAAGTAGTGACCTTGTTCTACTCATTAATAATTTCCGTGTCAAGTTCTTTTTAACATATTAACCTGATTATATTAACCACCAAATCTGAGTGCAACAAATCTAAGTGCAGCTGTTTCTTTATATATGTGGCTAAAGTGAACAAAGGCATTTTAATATGCTTTCAGCAGTAAAATACAATTCACTGTACTCTAATTTGGAGTAAAAACAGCTTATTAAATACTAGCATAAAAAATAAACCTAGTGAGTTTTAACATCTATTTTTGTTGTCTTCTTACTACTATTAATTACTGTTTTGCATTTGGTAGAAAACTCTCTTCCTTGTAAGAAAAGATAGCATTCCTGCAGCAAATTTTAAATGATTCAAGAAATAGAGATGTTAAGAGATTGATGTTTTCCCCCTTTCTCATGCAGAGGATCGAATCCAGAGCCTCTCAGTGTGCTAAGCAAGTGCTGTACCCTTGAGCTACATGCCCAGCACTGGGATTGGCTAATTCAAGGATTGACTGAAAAAGTCTTCAAATACAGATGAGTAAATGCTAATACTGGTTGAGTATCCCTAATGTGAAAATCCAAAATCCAAAGTACCCTGATTGAAACTTTTTAGGTGCCAAGGTGACACTCAAGTTTCAGATTTTGAAGCATTTCAGATGTTGGATTTTTCAGATTACGGATTTTCAACCAGTAAAGTCTATGCAAATATCCCAATGTCTGAAAAAGAAAATGAAAACCCAAATCAGAAACACTTCTGGTCCCAAACATCTTGGATAAAGATCACTCAATCTGTATTCCCAAAAGGTTCTTGGATACCTGAGTGAAAGAAAATTGTGATATTGAAAGTGTTAAAGATTCATTTTTCTATAGCGAAAATGTCATAGCAAGGTACACTTGTAATGAAACTGGCATTTGTGTTAAGGATGGCATTATATTTTGTGAAAGGTTTCAATCCTTCACTGATATCTGTAAATTCTGAATTATTTCTTCACCTCGATTTTCTTTGGAGCATGATATAAACTACATTTATTGTTTTTGCCTACGTCTGAGTTGCACCAGTCCCCTGTACCAGTCCTGGAAATCTTTTAAATAACGTATATGTTGAAACTGTCTGTTTGATTTCAACGTTAAAGTTAAAATTCTCCACATTTCAAAATCAGACATGAGCCATATTTTCTGCCATCTGTAGATGTCTTATAACCAATTTTGTCTTATAACAGTGGTGCCATTTTTCATGGGGGGAAGATATTGTTATTTTTTCAATGAATTTATACCATTTTAAAAAGTCATCTTAAACAGCATCAATGATATTACAGTATGTAACTGAGAAGACTATGGAGACTGGGAAAATATTGTGGAGGAGTTGATTGAAAGTTGCATTGAACAAGGTGCCCCTCAGAGTAGTGTCTTGGGATAGCAAGCTATGTTTGGTTATGTTAGCTAACCCTGGTGAGTAAGGCAGAACAGTGGCTTTAGATGTGTAGAAAAACTCTTAATCATAGGCAAGGCTAGTAATAAGGTATTTTCTAGTAACCCCTAAGTTATTTCAAAGAGTTTAATTAGAACTCTATATCCTTTAATATTTTGGTTAATCTGTGCTTTATTGCATATAGCAATTATGCTTGAAATGATCAAAGTATACATTCTTACATTACTGATAGAGAAATCAGAAACTCAGAAGATTTAGTCCTCTGCAGTGTTTTTATTATCCGTACGAGGAAGGGAGGAGACAACTATTAGACTAGAGCGTGAACAAGCAAACATTTTTGCCTCAAACCCAGCTGTGGTAACTTTTGTTGAAATAGATATGAGACAGTAACTAAACTTTAAAAGAGGGCAGCTTAGTTACATATATAAAAGCCTGGAAATGGTGGCATAAATGTATATTTTGGCCCCTTAAGCAAAGGGATGAACAAGTGCTACCTTGGCCCACATAAATTTAAATCTCTGTCTCTGTCTCTGTCTCTCTGCCTCTGCCTCTGCCTCTGTCTGTTTTGCTCCTTTCTCACTTTCCCAGAACCTTACATAATTCTATAGGGAATAAATGGATTCAGCTGATTGAATAATTATCTTGATTTCCAAGAGCAAGGACTACTTTGAGGTGACATTTGCTATTTGATAAGTTGGCAATTTCTGATCCTAGGGTAGGACATTGTAAACAAGTACATTTGGGGCCCTCCACCTTCCATTCCCTCCAGGTAATGTGACCCGTATCTCTGGGAACTTCTGGGTCCCAGTGTGCAGTGATCATCAAGCAAACCCTCCTGCCTCTGTGCATTGCTGAGGTGGCATGCTGCCTGAAGGCATGGCCTAGCTTCAGGAAAGCATCTTTCAGATTGGTCCCTCCAGAAAGACCTTTACTGAGCTTTAATTTCTAAATTTTTATTCTTATATTCATTCTGTAATTAGAGCCATCCCTGTAGACAGGAACTCATCATCAGGGCCCAGAATATAAACCACAGACTGTTCATTGCTCTTTCACATGGTGATACTGAGAGATGCAGCAATCCAGGATAAGATAAACACATTTGAGCACTGATGTTTGAGAAAATTAAAAGATAAAGCTTTTTTCACAGTTGCCCATGTGTATATCAGATCAAGGTCAACTTGCCTGAAAAATAAAAACCATGAATAGCCTCCCTTGTGCCAAAGATGATGCAACTGACCTATTGCTTTTTGCAGTTGGGTTTTTAAAATTTGTGCTGCTGGGCAGCACTCTTGAAGCTTCCTTCCTAGGAGACCCTAGGAAGTAGGAGGTAGGATATCTAGAGTAGGATGTCTGCTTGCTTCCGGATACTGTACTCCCTGTTCCTCTAGCTTCTGGTAAACCCTATTTTACTATCTTTATGAATTTTCCTCATATAAATTGAATAATCATATCATATTTTTCTTTGTCTGGTTTATTTCCATAAACATAATGTTGTCAGGGTCCATCCATTTTGTAGCACACATCAAAATATGATTCTTTTCTATGGTTGAATACTATTCCATTGTGTATATACTACATTTTTTTATCCATTCATTTGTTAGTGGGTACATGAGTTGTTTCTTCCTTTTGGCTATTAATGATAGCACTTCTACAACTATTGATATACAGATACCTGTTGAAGTCCTTGCTTTCAGTTCTTTTACATATATATACCTAAGAGTTGAACTGGTAAGTCATATGGTAGTTTTATGTTTCATCTTTTGAGAAATTATCAAACTATTTTCCACAGTAATTATACCATTTTACATTCCACCAGGAATGTAAGAGTGTTCTAATTTCTCTACCTCATTGCCAACACTTACTTTCCATTTTAGAAAGCAGTTTAATATAGTCATCATACTAGTTGTGAAGTACCATCTCATTATGGTTTGGATTTGCATTTTCCAGTGATTTATGGTGTTGAGCATCTGCCCAGTTGTTTACTAGCCATTTGTATGTTAGCTTTGGAGAAATGTTTATTTACATGTCTATTTCACTAGTTTTGAGTTGGATTGTTTTTGTTGTTATTGAATTTAATACTTTATGTATTATGGACATAAGAACCTTACTGGATATATAACTTGAAAGTGTTTTTTTTTCATTCTGTAGATGTTTTTTGTCATATTAATGAAATCATTGCCAAATCCAATGTCATGAACATTTATTCATTTTCTTCTAAGAGTTTTATAGTCTTACCTCCTATGTTTATGTTTGTGTTACATTTGAATTACCTTTTGTAGATGGTATATGTAAAGTAAAACCAAATACAAAATATAAAAATTGAATATCTACAACTTTTGCATGCACATCTTTTGTAAAATGGTATATCTAGTTTTCCTTACACAATTGGTTGAAAAAATTGTCCTTTTCCTACTTAATAGTTTTGGCATCCTTTCAAAAATGAATACCTGAGAGTTTACTCTGGATTGTCTATTTCATTTCCTTGGTCTATACATCTGAGCTTATGCTGGTGCCACACTGTTTTAATAACTGTAGCTTTGAAGTAAATTTTGAACTGTGGGAGTATGAGTTATCAAATTTTATTCTATTTTTTCAAGATTGTTTTAAGTCTTGGGGCCCCTTGCAGTTCCCTATGAATTTGTAAAATGGCTTTTCTATTTCTATAAAAAAGGTTATTGTAATTTTTTTGTTTTTTTATTT